CCAAAGTTTTCATTCACTAAAAATTTGCAAACAACTTATCATCAGCATGAACATTGTTTTTCTTAACGAAGTAAAAAAATGTCGTATGGGTTAACTAAGCAAACCACTTTATTGGCATTTTAACCGAGTTCCGTGTTCAACTAATAAAATTCCGATTTTCCGATGTTAAGAAAACAATTTATTTATTGCTTTCCGTATAATTGGATAAACATCAGCCATTCTTAGCGATATTTTAATCAACCCAATTTTGACATAATTATTGTTGATGTCCTCTAATTTTAACAAATACTCTAAAAGAAAAACTCAAAAATGGTGATTTTTTTATTCAGTAATTTTTTGGCGATTGGAATAATGGTTTTTAACAAAAATTTTGAAACCCATTGAAGATATCGACTCCTTGAAATTAATTGTAAAAAGATACTTTACCTCCAATCATTTTTCGCAAAGATCTGGGAGCTTGAAAACTGCCAATTTGGCCATACTCTAGACTAATTAATGCGCGCCAAAAAAATTTTTACTATGAAGCTGAAATTCGATTTATTTGTGCGCGGCAAACTATCCTGCACAACAAAAATGTTCCTAAATAAATTGAGACAAGCTAATCGGTCGCATTAAATAATTTCACTCATGATTTGTCCAAAATCGATGGTTTCAACATTATAATTTTTTTTAACAGCTATTTGATACCAATTACGGGCATTCGTAACATTGAGAGCTTTGTGCTGATATATGAGCAGTCTTTTTTTACTCCTTGTATGTATAACTACATTTTCGAATTACAAAAACTTTCAGTACCCTTAAGATAGCCTTAGAAATGTCATGCCCTAATGAGTTATAAAACAAAGTAAATTGTCAATGAAGATGCCCATGTTTAATAATAAGCGTCTCATAGAAGTAAGCTCAAAAACAACTTTGTTTGTTAATTACCAAGTTTGGATCACTGCCAGTGAAATTAGAAAAGTATAGAAAAAAACTCTTAGACCATGACACAAACCTTATATTCATAATCATTCATGCTCACAGCTTCAGAGCAGCTTCATATTTTCGCAGCATACAAAAAAACGTCTTGTTTCATTATAGCTGAAAAAAATCAAATACCCTCGCAATTATGCCACAATCTAAAAGTTTTTGGAAACAATTTTTATACCCCATTGAAATCATCGACTCCTTGTGTTCCAACGTAGAATTTTTTTTGCCTGCCTCCATTCACTTTTGTAAAATTTTGGCGGTTTGAAAGTTGCCAATTTGGCCATGCTTTGGACTAACTTATGCGTGCTTTGAAGATTTTATGCATATTGCTGAAAGCGTAACGCAAATTATTTATGCATGGCGAATTATCCCGCACAAAAAATCGGTCCGAATTTAAATGAATCTAGCTAATCAGTCGTATTAATTTGTACGGAAGAATTGTTTACATTTGATTTTTGATCTTGTCCAAACTTCATAGTTTTCTAATGTTTTCTTTTCCCAAAAAGTATTTGATATGGAATAAGGGGCAGAAGAAACATTCAAGGTTTTGCCCTGACATCCGAACACTCTTCTTCTACTTAATTTTGTTAACAAAATGAGAACGGTGTTAGAAACTATGTTGTGCTTGAAAAATTTATTTTCCTGAGGCTGATTGTTTTTGCTCACATGTTGTGCAGAAAAAATGAGACAAAAAAATATTTCAGCATTTTGGTTTTTGAGCCCTTTCACTGCTAGAAAACATTGCAATTTTTCTGTAGACTAATCAATATCCGTTCCGATCATACTCGGAGGGGGCTGGAAAGTTTAAGGCAGATTAGATTTTAACCCATAAAAGAACCATCACGATGAGTCAAATGAGGTACCGCCTTCAAATTTTGAGATATTGATTATAACATTTTTACGGACTTTAATCAATTTAGGTAATTTTTAATGATTAAGCCCCTTTCTTCCGACTTTTTCTCTTAAGCAATAAAAAAGTCCAAGGAAAACAAGGGTAGCCGGTTACTGTGCAGGTAGCACAGAATGTTTCGACAATATTCTTAAAATTACATCAAAAAAGTTTTTTCAAACTATAGTCGTTATTATAGTCGTGGTGTGATAAAAAGTTTGAACGAAAAAATAGAATTTAGGCATACTCGACGGTCATTTTAAAGTATGCAAATCAGAAATTTCCAGATTAGCAAAAAAAAAACGTTTTTTCATTTTTTTTTTTGCTTTTTTTTATTTTTTAAAGTTTTTGTTTCCAAAAAGGCGCTACAAGGAATTTTAGGAGTTTCGAAATTCCTAGAAATATGGCATATCTCCAATTCAGATGATTATAAAAAACTAACTGCAAACTAGTTTTGTTCGAGCAGCAACAAGTAACCAATTTTCTTAACGAGCAGGTGTTCATATTTGAATTTTGGCTTTTAAGCGTGTTTCTATGTTTCTTTTGGTACATTGCACTGAAAAGTCGCTAATCGGAACTTTCTGTGCTGCTTATTCACTATGGCAGACTGCATTGAACAGAAAATTTTTAACTTCCTGTACTCTCTTTATGCTTTGGTAGATCTCGATCGCTTTAGTGATTGACATTAGACGTCAAACTCTTACCTGTGCTAAGAAGTTATTTCAGTTTTTGACTTTTTTGATAAATAATGAAAAAAGTACTCACAGCAAACCAATTTCTTCTCAAATGGGCTTAAAGACAAGAAGGAGGCTGTAAATAATCAAAGCACATAAAGAATAGGGAAAAATTGATTGAGGAGGGATATTGATCCACCATTGATCGTTAATTTTTCCTACATTTACACTTTTCCAACTATTTATGGCAAAAAATGAAAGGCGGTAGCCAAAAAATCGGCCAAAATGCCGTTAAACAATTTTGAAAATGAAGGGCATGCGAATAAATCAGAAAATGACTGACAATTCAATACAAATATGAGACACAAACTGATGATATTTTTTTCATCAAAACTCAAATAAACTAAAATTTCTCTTTCAATCTATTTTTACAAATAGGAAGTATAATCGAGGTTTCAGGAATAAAGAAATGTAAAAAGCTGCCACAATTTTAGTTTACACATTGATAATGTAATGTGAAAGTTTTTGTTCTTCAAAATATTAAAATAAAAACTAAAAACAGTACAAGTGGATTTTTTTTCTGCCAGTAGGAAATTTTTAATTTTTTTTAATTGGTAAAATTTAAATAGACAACCGATGCTTTTGCGTTTTTTGGCCTTGTTTTCTTGCTGTGGCATTTAAGTAAAATATCGAAAATGGTGCTGGCTAAGATGCAAATTTACTGTACAGAGACTCTGGCGTTTTTTCAGCGCATTTTAATTTAGATGTCACTTTGAATGTTTGTTGTGTTTAACTACTGCTAATAGTTAAATGCGATATCGCAAAATAAAATAGCCGGACGGAAAATAATGCAAATCAGCTCTCATCTCAGTCGGGGGTACATCGGGCAGGGGTGGGCGGCTGGAAATCCAGAAGAGAACCCAGAAATTGTGGAGCTACGGCGGCAGCGGCGGCGGTCGGTCGACCACGGCGGCTACTTTATTCCCCTTACATTTTGTGTCCTCTATTAATTTTACCGGTAGACTTATCCGGTAGAATTAGAATTGTAGGCAGCTATTTCCACCCTCAATTGTAGTTATGGTAATCGCTGCCGTGGCTGCAGTGGTTTGGTTAAATTTAACCCACAATTCTGCCCAAGTGGTGCGTTTGACAGCCTTCAGATAGCCGATTTATATTCCAGTCAAAACCATAAACCCAGCATTGATCACTACCCTAATTCTGTTCGCCCCCACCTGATTAGGTGCTCCATCCAACCCCTAGAAGCCCAGACATCAGAGAACACAAGTCGCATTTCACTTTAATCAACTAAAAATAGAGAGGACGCATTCAATATAGACATTTGGTTATAACAATTTTTACACTCTAAAATTGAACGTGATTACGTTTGCACGAGAAAAAAATAACAATCGCAAATATGTTGAGAATTTTTGGGTGTATTAGTTTAAAACATGTTGATTTTCAGTAGGTTTAAAATATCATATTGTTTAATTTAAAATATTGCAAACCTCAATTTGAATTTTTTTCCACAAATCTACAGAGTTCAGCTTTCCTGAGCCACAATATCGATTTATGAGATATTAGGTTCATGTTATGGGTTATTTTAATCATTTTTTAAATTATGCGCCAAGAAAGTTGTCGCTTTTTTAAAAATGTGAGTTTTCATTGTTTCGACCATTTGAAAAAGGTGGAGATACTTTGTATTTGGATGTGTTTTAGTTTTTTATTTTTGCTTTCCACCCAAAATCAGGTACCACAAATAATAATCGGAATAGGTCGAGTGATATATCATATTAAAGTCCTTTCAGTAGTAACTCGAAAATCTTTCTCAGTGTTGAAAAAACCAGTTTGAAAAATTCAAAAAATTCTGCAAAACAATTTGAAACATTTTTGAAAATGACTGGGAATTTTTGAACAATTTTTTTCCCGTTGATCCAGTAATTTTTCAACAAATTTTTTTCGTTTTTGATTTACTGACAAAGCATATTACTGACCCAAATCTGCGTATATAATACTGGCGATTTTCCTTTAATTCCCTAAAAATCTCAATGAACTGATAGAATTAATGTCTTTCCTTGTCGAATTTAACTTAATAAGAATAATAATGATATACAATTTTTTATTCTCTTAACCAAGAAAATTTTGTTTAGGTTGAATTATGACTGAAATGACTTCCTTTTTGTTTAGTTTATAATTTTTATTCTGGCAACCGATACTCATCAAACCTAATTTGTAGTAACATCATCAAATGTTGAAAACCACAGGTTTCAA